ATAGTAAAAAAATAGAAAACGTCTTAACAGTTACATGATTAAATTTGGGCATTCTTTTAAAAAAAGGCTGATGTAACAAGTGGTACTGATAAGAGTTGCCATGGTTGCCATTCACCGTTGACAGTTAAAAATTGAAAACATTTCAAAAACGCGGCGAGATCAAGGAAGTCGAGAAGATGCCGAATATGATGCGTCAGTTATCTTTTTTGTCAGGCTCCTCCTCAGTTTTGTTGGTTAGCTATAATCCGTAAAATGCTTTCCGCTGTATCAACTGTAACGACGCCCTTTTATCCACTTGCCTTGTATTGAAGAAATAAAATACTCACTCAAACGACAATCTAATTACGCCAATACATTAGTCAATATCTTGACAGACCAAGCCAAGCGAGAAGCACTTGACGTACTACAAAACCAAACCGTGTAGTGATGAAATACACCCAAAATAGGAACCGATAATCCACTATTTGAAGAGGAGTTTACGAGAGCCACTTGAGTCTTTCGTTACGTGTATATAATACCTCCTTGCAGGCTTTCAACCTGGCCAGTGTCTTTTGGAGATCATAATTTATGATGGCAGTTAAGAAGTATTTATGAAGTGGCTACCACTCTTCACTTGGTTGCATTAGTCAGTATATCAAGTATTCATTGAAAACGCTCACATTAACTGATTGGACTATGTTCTCGGCTTTTTGTGAGCGAGGGAAGTAAATTTCATTTTCCCCAGTCCCAGATCATTGTTCAGCATCCAGGTTTATCTCAGTGCGCGATACTTCGAATGCGCGAGCCTAGAATCAAATCGGATCTGCTTGAGCGGCAAAGTTTTGTCTTGGTATGAATCAGAGGTGTATTGCTACACCGGCGGTATATCTTAGTACATAAGTGATGCGCGCTTGGTACTTCAATAGTATTGGGCGTTAAAGATTTCGGTTTGTTGCGGGTGGAGCCTATATTGCTTAACTTTATCACTGTATTGTTATCTTTGAATTATTATTTTTTATCTTTGCTCCTATTCCTCTCGTTCTTCGCAAACTTGAAATTCATAGCTCAATAAAAAAATCTTATGTAAGCCTCTGCAGTTCAAAATGCTGTCCCGATGATAGAAGTCGCGCTTTTCGTGTTCTAGAAAGGTTAAAATTTGATTACTGAAATCTGCATGTTGATCAGAAGTTATTGAATATATAAGGATACGGAGTACTTGCAGCGGATATGGTGAAGTAATTAAAGTATTTCACTATTTCATTCAATATCAAGGCTATCACTGACGATGATAACATCAAAATCAAATACAGGAAAATGAGTAGTATAACGACACTTATGATCGGGGTATACATGAACGGAACCCCTTTGAATATAAAAAAATAACCTATTAGCCGCTCCGAGGTTGAGGGAAACACCGAGTGGAGTTGGCATGTATCGTGGGACTGTTCTAGGGACATATTTCCAAAATTGTGTCTAGTTCGTTCCCTAAAACGTTCCACAATGTAATGACAACTCGACACAGATGTTTTCTCAACTATTGGGACAACTGCCCTTCTTCTTGTGCGTCATAACTGAATAAATTTGCTCATCACAAACAAATCTTTTCAAGCTTTTCCGGTGTTCGTGAAAATAAATAAGTTGAATGGATCTGCTCTTTTATATAGTAACTATGTTTATTTAAACACGGAATCCCTTCATCGAAAAATGCTCCTCCAGGGAGCCATGAAGGTTTTTTATATTATTGCTGCAATATGATCATCTGCAGATATAAATCTATGCATAAGTCTATTAGTCATGATCAGGCGAAAACCTTCACTCGATTACTACGAGCAATTAAATAAACTGATACTACGACTTAATGCTATGATATTCAGTAAATTAGAAAAACAGGATCATGGCAGCGATGGGTGGATTGGGGTCATCAGTAAAACGACCCACCCCACCCTACTTCACATTAAGAATTTGTACATAACACTCACGAGATGAAACCTCATACTGAATGAAAAGTATTTGCACGTAATATTTCTTATCAGTAAGACGGATAAGTAGGTTCCTTTGGGCACGGCCATTATCTGAATTTCTGAGTAGTGTCCGAAAACTCGTCATCGTGTCCATAACTATTGCTTCGAAGGAAACTGCCATTCTCGCTCATAGATGGTATCTGTGAACCACTCAAAGGTTTTTTGTACTTTTCTTGGTTTTATATAAATATAATCTTGGAGAAAACAAAATACTTACTACCACTACCAACGTATATCGAAAGTTGAATCCTAGTTTTTTTTGTTTTTTTTTTTATTTACTTCTACATCTCTTACTTTACATTACAGATATTTATCCTAGTTAAATCCTAGTTGTGTTGTCCTAAATCCGTGACTTTCACCGAAGAACAAACCACTCCCCACCCCTCCCCGATGACCAGGCCGATGGCAACCAATTGCTCCACATATTTATTGCTAAAGATGTGGAAGAATGTGTTCCACATTATTGTTTTTATTATTATTATCCATCCATTCTAAGATGTAATCGCTTTTAACTGTTTTGGAGACATTATTGTCGTGCTTCTTTAAAGCTGTTTTTGATAAGACCGACTCAGAAATCAATTTGTCTGAACTCTGTTGAACAGGTAGTATACTAACGCTGATCAAATCTTCGCGTCTCGATGAAGTAAATGAGCTTGGAGTTACTAATTGATGCGACGAATCGCTTTTGGTTCGACATACACTTGACTTTGGTCTCCAAACAGCTAGAGACTGTCTTGTCTCGGAATTCCGAGTTGCTGCTTCAGATGGTGCAGCCAATACATCAAGTTTTGATTGCAGCTTTACGTCATGGCCACGACCAACTTGCATAACACTTCGATGTTTTTCATCTTTTCTTTTCTGTTTTTCATGAGTATTACGCAAAAACACTGCTCGCTGCCTGTACTTGGCGTTTTCACTTGTAATTGAGCATCGTTCTTTAATGACAGGGAGTTCCGAGGGAGCGCTCATACTTCTTCGTAATATACGTGGAACAGTTTGAGGTATCTCATCCGTATCACTAGGAAAAGGGGCATCCTGCGCGTTTTGATGTTTTATCGATTGGTTTTTCTTGAAAGGAGTAGAGAAGACATCATCAACGTTAAACAGCTCTTCTTTGACCACTGAAATAATGGTTCCTTTGGTTCTTATCATGACTATCTTATCAGGCAGACCTCTCTTCCCAGTTGACGACCAGATAATAAACTACACTGACTGACTCGGATCTCGAATGTCGTAGTCTTAAAATATCATTACCATTTAAGATTAAGAGATTAACCATTCAACAATTGACCAGAACGTTTTGTTTACCAGGAATGGAAGTAATTCTTATCATAATAGTATTATTTGTTACAAGCCGTTTGGATTTCTCAAGCCCATTTTTAAATATAACACCCTACACACTTCACAGAAATTAACTAACAGTTCAAATAGCTCACTCGGCGATTCATAGTCAATTTAGCGAAGAATTAAAAATTGCTCTAATTATCTCTACCATAACGAATTCTTTTGTTTAGCTTGTTATAACGGGGCCGATGTAATTGTTTTGTTGACATTGACCTATGAAAGCTATGGGTTATTCATTAAAAAAGTGTAGCAGTAGTAACACATTGAAGTAAGTAAGTAAATTTTTGGGACCTCTTTAAAGTGATCATTAGTAACAAGATTTATTTTAATAACAATCGAAGATTAAAATCCGCCTTTGTATTATGCAAATAACTAGTGAACGATTTGGGCGAGGTAAGGTGTTAATCTTTATTTGCCACGCCTCAATAAGCCGGACAACTTTTTAACTGTTCAGGATGTGTGCATGTGCGTATTTTTTATAAATTCTTTTAAGGAATAACTTTCACATTTATTTACGAAGATAAAAAAGATATAAGATATTAATGTAAAAAGAGTGAGAGCACAATAAGCTATTCCGTGCAGAAATAAAACTATTAGCTCGATTAATTTACATTCAGGCTTTTTTTTGTTTTTGTTTTTGTTTTTGTTTTTTTTTTTCTCGCTTTGTTTTATTCATTGGTTGCTGTTTCTTGGACTTGCCTTAAGACAACTTCTTTTGTCTACTGACGAGTTATTCATTCAAGCGAAGCGAGAATTAAAAGGTTAAATCACGAAGCTAAGACCGATGTGTATTATGGGTATTTTACACCCTGGTCATTCGGAGGGTGGTAACCTGCATGTAAAGTGACAAAGTGCTTCGCTCGGTAAGCCTGAATATATGTTCGAGAGATGCAGAACTTCAATCTTAACACCCGTCGGTCTTAGCTTCTATTTTTCAACCCGACAACGAATACCCAACGACGTTTTTTGAATTTGTTGTAATCGTATAACCAAAATGAAAGCTAACAACGACAATTGGACCATAGGACGAGAAAACGCAAGCTACAGACTGAATTTTGTTTTTCATTTGCCTCTTGCTCCGAGAATACCTTTCCGTTTGTTAGTTTTGTTGAAGCTTGTTGTCTTAGATCACAGAGATTAAAGTGCTTATAAGCCTTTACACAATATTTTCAGAATTGATTCTTTAAATAGCGAATAGTTGATTGTGAAAATAATTTGTCATTTGAACGTCGGGTCTTTGAGATACGAAGGTTTATATTTCCAATATGTTAATGACTATGACGTAACATAAGGGATTTGAGTTATTTTGKGGCAATTTTTAATATTGAACGCTGGACRTTTTCTGAAAACAAATTTGTAAGAACCTTTACGTGAGTCACGAGTAAAAGGGGGATGCTTTTAAAATACTGTATTCCAGAACGAGTGCAGTGCTGTATATTAAATGATCCCTTATGTTACGTCATAGTCATTAACATATTGGGAATATAAACCTTCGTATCTCAAAGACCCGACATTCAAATGACGAAATATTTTCACAATTAACTATCCACTATCTAAAGAATCAATTCTGAAAATATTGTGCAAAGGCTTATAAGCACTTTAAAGTTTAAAGAAACTTCTTGTCTCAGATCACAAAGAGATATCCAAAACATGTTTGTCATTTAGAGTGCGTTCTTTTTTCAGATCAAATACGAAGCTTGTAAAAACAAATTGCTTTAACACGGGGAAACAAGCACGTCCCAAGGCTCTGAAAGATTCTTTAGTCATATTTAATCTTCTTTTTTCCATGAAAGAATACCAAATAAATCAAATACAACATGGACGAGAATCCCATAACAGTACAAGCCATGACAATATCCTTAACTGGGTAAGGTAAAGGCGTGTCAACGACAAAAACCAAGAACTCATCAGTTAGCTCACAAAAAGTGTAGTTATCTTGTACAACGTGGGCTCTAAAATGGTATAAGCCAGACCCTACAAACTCCACCGAGCTGTTCATTTTTTCCTCCATAATTATGTAAGGTATTCCTGGAAAAGTTTTCGTACTGGGATTCAAAGCTTCGTAATCAATTCTATTATTCAACTCCTTGAGGTAGTAGGGTGAATCGAGTTTGATAGTTTCTCTCTCATCTCTTGAGACAGTAAACTTGGGCATGAGTTTTTCAGTAAACAGAATCCTATATACCGTATCGATACAATCTGAGTATCTTTCTGATGAAGATCTTCTCATTCCAAGGGTACATCCACAAGCTGTGCGTTCATTTACTCCTTGACATTGTTTATATTGGACTGTTTCTCTTGTAACTGAGTATGCATCCTTGTAATGGGGTCTTTTGGGATCTACGTTGTATATGTTACCGGTCAATGGGATAGCCTTTCCACGAGCCGATGGGGGTCTATAGTTGAATGGGAGCTTGAAATTTCTCTGGATACCTTTAGAATCGATCGCCTTTGCGTCCAGAAAGGAGGCATCAGAGAAGGTTGACGGGTAGATGTAACGAAGTTTCTTCGAAGGAGGACATCCACTGTGGATGGAAATGGTAAACGAGGTGCTCTTACAAAAAAGAGACGAATGTTGAAGTAGAACAGTTAAGGATGATGTTCCTCTGGCTGAAGGCTTCTGAGAAATTAAGGCTGTAAGACTTGTGTTTAGAAAGGAAGTATGAACAACCGACTTTAATATAAATAATCGAGGATTACTTATGAAGACTCTTGCGAAGGGCTGCCTCGACGTGGTCTTACTTATGGAAGTTGCAGTAAATGTCAAGGAGTCCATTGAATCTAAATGGAAAAGTCGCATATCCAAATTTCTTCTTTCGAGAAGGACACTCCTGCAAGTGTCTTCATTTACCCACCAACTAATGTTACTTGATATGGGGTCCCGGAAGTCATGCAACGTCCAGCCTTCAAAGGTATCCTCCCAAGGTGTATTCCGCATCCAAGGAATATATGTTAACCCTATGAAGGTAGTTTCATTGACATAGTGTTTTAATATAAAACTTTGCCCTTCTGGTAATATCACAGTCTTCCCTAAGTCGTCTTCTTGCCAACGGTCATCAGTATTCATCCTGCTAAGTAATGTCAATGATGCATTCCAGCCAGACCATCTGACTTGCAATAGTGAATTAGTTCTATTCCTTGGTGGCTCTGCAAACGCTTTTGTAACCAGCCCAACTATCTTGTGCTTGAAGACATTTGACATCAAAATGGATGTTTTTTCCACACGAACGATCCTGGCTGACCCACCATATTTCGAGTAAATAACTTGACCAGAAGAAAAACAGTCGCCGCACTCAGAGCTTACATAGAACTCTACTTGGGTTTCATCTCTGAAGCTTGCTAGCAGTGACAAAGGTAAAGTGTGCTGACTTTCATTATCACGCTTGATTTCAAAAGCAGTTGGGGATAGTGAAAAGTTCCCACCAGCAACTTGTGGTTTCAATGCTACAACAGTATTTGCATGACCTAAGACTTGAGTATATACTGGGTGACTAAGTGAGCCATTTCCTAATCGTTCGACTACAATTGCTCTATGTATACCTGCTTTTCCAATAAGAATAGATCCAAGTCTTGTAGTCACGCAAAAAGTGTTACCAAAGAGATCTATTGAAAATGATGTCACCCTGTCTTGGTCGTGCAGTGAAGTGACTTTATAGAAAGAATTCCCACCGTCTAATGACTGCCACACCTTAGATTAGTAAAAGTAACCGATCAGTCTTGATCGCGTAAAGACAAGAGTACTTGATAAGGATGTACTTCTGGTAACGAAATTTATATTTTAAAAAACACTGATCTCTAAATCGGAAATCGTTATCATCTTACTTTTAATTATTATTTTTTACAATTTTGTAAATATATTATTTTAAAGTGTAGAATAATGACCCTTTGGGTTTTTTTCTGTACCTCCCACGCATTAAATAGACATAAAAATGTAAATATAATGTATAAAATGCTATTTGGAAAATAAAAAACTTTAAACCTCGAAACCTTATACATAATTTACAATCGGACACATGGTATCATTTTTTCATTATATGGTTAATGCATACGAATTTCAAACACTTAATCAATTCAAAATGAACTTACCTGAGATCCATAGGCATAGATAATCTTGGTATATGCATGGAAATATAAGCTTTCAGCGGTCTCGCCCTTGTCGAAGATAAAAGCAGGAAAAGAAAGCTTCGTTCCATTGTAAACTTGCAATAAGGTGACTTCCTATCGAGGTTAAAGAAGTGAAATATAAGTTTAAAGGAGGTCAAAGAAAGAAAGGATATGGGACCGTTCATGAGTTTGAAAGCGATTTTATACTCTATACACAGACAGACAGACAGACATATTTTATTTGGCGTTTTGTACATAATTGCACATCAACTTAGATCCAAATAAGTTACGAATATATACGTACTGTTTATGTATGTGCATAATATCTATATTCACATATTCCACACATAACGTCATACGTACATATATATTCTGTACACAAACGTTTTATTTATTCATACTCCACCCCCCCCCCCCTCCCCCAACCTATAAATCATGAACGGTCATCTCTGTAACCAACTATAATTCTGAATTCTTTAGGTGGGGCAATAGGCAGCTAGCCTTGACATATCAATGATGGACACCTAAACTATTGGCTTTTCTTCAATTTATCTTTACAAACTTTACCTGAGACTTGTCATTTATCAAGGCTACAGTAGATTGTCTATCTATATCCTGAACCATATCCAGCAGATAATGTTTTTCGGGTGCACTTTCGAGAACGAGTGTCCTCCATCTTTCAAAGGGTGCGTAACTACAGACAGTGAGCGAGGAATTGGAAGTGTTGTTACGGTAAACTATGCACACCTCTTCAAGGTCTGATACATAAGATCTGTGACAATGCGGTGTGTGAAACAACTTCATGTCCTCTCTTCTGTTAACGCTGCCCATTCTTATTGCTTCGTCAATATCAGGGTGTATTGATTGTACGGATGTGAAACTCAGCTAAAATAAGGCAAAAAAATACAGCTTAGTTAGAGTGTTCAGGGACGGATATAGGGTTGTGGTTGAGCGTTAGTGCACCCTCTATTCAAAGACGTATAGGGCGTGATAGTTTGACAGCCTTTTTCTCTCACACCTCTCTTTTCTCCCCTTCAACCGTTTTGTCGTTTCCTTTATTCGTCGATTGAATTGATTAATAATAAAATTAAAAGTCAAAATACCTTAGTCCCAGGTCCATTTCTTAAAGCTTTAGTGAAGTTCTTTGAAAGTAATATGCCATTTGTCGTGAGAAACAGTAAGTGGTTCTTTAGCAGAGTGAAGTCTATTATGGAAAGGTTGGCGCACTTGGAAAAAGAGCTCTGTTTACAGATGGAATACTCATTTGGTATAGCGGAGGACTGGTGAAGCAAATTATGCCACGATACAGACGACGGGTTGAAGTAGTTGTATGTTACTCCGAAATAACATCCTATTTAGGATTAAAGCACAGGTCAGTTGGCCATCTGGCTTGATCAGTATTATGTACGACCATATCCAGCGATTTTCCCCGAGATGTCCCATGCACGACCGTAATGAGGAAAAGCCCCCCCCCCCCCTTCCTCCCTTCCAAAAAACGCACACACGTTTTGCTATAAATTAGGAACCAACTATTACCCATAATCAACCATTCAACCGTTATAACATCTTAATTCATCAATTCTACATTAAAACATACAAATAAAGCTTTTGTGAGTTAAGCTGTGGAAATATTTGATAAAAGGTGCGTGTTATGAAATTCACAAAAATAAGGTACACAGAACAACAAATTAATCCAGGTTTTTATGATAACTTTTTACCTGAATACTCGTCTTCGGTTGTATTTATGACAGGAACAATGGCAGCAACACCAGAAGAGCAAGGAGAGCTCTTTATTATCAAACCGTTAGGTTTAGATTGAAATAAAATAGGGTTCGTTATTTCATCTCCAAACTCCAGATTCAATAGCGGTTCTTCATCTTTGAGAATCAGACTTCCTGATTTCTCAAACAAGTTCAATCCCTTTCCTAGCTCTACAAGGTACTTCCAGGACCCTGAAATATAGTTTGTATCTTGAGATATCTGAAGTTTTGAAATGTTTCGCCTCCAGTAAACAGTGTCTTCTTCAACGAGTTCTTTCAGCTCAAACGAGGTATTCCACGTAAGATTCCAAAATCTAATGTTTGGTTTAATGCCTTGAGAAGCATAACGCCTAACCAAAGAGTTCCTATTGTATTTTGTGTCGTTGTATCTATACCTTACTTGATAGATAATCACCATTGAAGAGCCTTGAAAGTAAAGTTGTCCAAATGAATCAGTTCCGTTGTCTTCTGAATTCGAAGTGTAGACAACACTCTCGACATCTTCGTGTCCAAAATCGTACGGCAGAAAGGAAGAAAAAGAGCATTGAAAAGTTGACAAAACAGCTAAGCAAACAAATAAAGCTCTAACGCAAAGAAAAACTGAGAGAAAACTCAACGTTCTTGGCATATTAAAAGAGATAAATACCAAAAACTTGAAGCAAATAAAAGCAAAGCAAACAAGAACAATAATGTGTGCAAAAATTTCAAAAGCACGCGCACACGCGTCATTTTCCCCGCCAAAAATCCAAACCACAGGAAGCCCGTTTATATTAATTTATTGCACACTTTTATAAATTCGTTTTACAAGTTATTTTTACATTCGTTTATAAAAAATAGTTACATTTGTACAGATTTTGGTGGATGTTGCCATGTTAAACATTTTCACACGATTTATATGTAGCCATATGTCATATAGTCTTGCAAACGAGCAGCAATGTCCATGTCAAACGTAGCCGCCTTTATGAAGAAAACAGAAAGAAATTGTCATTCTTATGACTAAATCCATAAACAATAATGATTAAGATGAATAAATATAATAATGATGATGGTGGTGATGATAATTATGTCTGGCCTCAAGTTAATACTCACTCTTGAATACCACTTCTGGGACCCCTTGACATCTTGTACGACACCATGCCCATGGTGAAGGCAGCGTGCATATATGAAACAACCTAAGGCAATGCCCTTTGCAACATAGTTTGGTAAACAGTCTGTTTCTGCAGCTATTCCTTGAATATCCTCAAGCTCTGCAACACTGTCATATAATCAAAAGAATTAACATGATAAATTAATAAAGGTTTAATGGGATCCAAAAATACTAACCTTTTTGCCACATCTGCGGCCTTGTTGAACAGTTTTCTTCTATAATAATGCACGGCCAGGTTACCTTGGGCATAAACATTTCCTCTAATGGCTGCACCTTTTAAGCATTCGAACGCTGATTGGATATCCTGCTCAACTCCAATACCATACTCAAACATAACCCCTAATGCACCTGCATTAATAAATTGCTTTAAAAATTTTGCTTTAAAAATGTTTATGATTTGTTTTCAATCCTTGGCTGTGATAAGAGGTTTAAAACCAGAATTTGACTTTAAAATGTCTACCAGTAGTTTAATATAAGTTTTCAAAACTTACCTTGAGACTCGATACTTCCATTTCCAGTGGCCTCTTGATGCCAGAAGTAAGCCTATAGTAATGTCAAAACAATCCCATTTCAAAAATGAGTGCAAGTGTTCTCTAGATGTATCTGGATGTCATTTGTTGACACTCAAGAATTCTTCCTTTTTTTGTGTGACCATGATCTTGAAATACTGATATACTGATAAATGTTTAAAAATATCTACACTGCTAGTCTAAGGAATGTTTTGAGCAATTGATATTTTTTAATGAGAGGGAAGAGGGCATTTGATACCCTTGCTTGGCCATGGGTAGAATGTAACACAATGAATGAACTCCCGAGATCACTTAGAATATAAGAACACATGCGTAATGTAGGCTATAACAACACACAGGCTGAGACAATAAGGTTTTATATCTACTGAAACAAAAACAGAGTAATTGTGTCTACATATACCTTATTGAGGTCAAAAGAATCTTCTCCTGGCCTTGAATAAAACAAGCCCAGTACCATTTGTGCCTTCATACTACCCTTTGAATCACCATCATCTGCAGCCCGTAACAACCATCTTTCAGCTTCCTTGTCGGACTGCTTTACTCCAAAACCTTCATAATAGGCTCTGGCTACATTGTACTGTGCCTGATGTACGAGATGTGATGCATCTGGATTCTTTGACTCAGCTATGTCTTTCATGTATTGCACACCTTTTTCCTATTAGCAGTGCCAAAAAAGGTTCAGAATTATGCATCTGGCATGAAAATACCTTTTAAAGAGACAGCTTACAGAAGACTTTTGAAAATGAGGAAGTTTTTTAGAAAGGAAAGGGGTGGAGGGATTTTTCTTTTTGAGGGGGGGGNGGGGGGGGGAGGGGGGGATAAGATGTACTAATAAGTGGCCTATCATTTGTGGAAAGAAGAATTGGTGATTCATGCTTATGTCATGACACAACTAAAAATCAAATGTATAACTTGTTTTTCGTTCAAACATTCCCGACTTTAAAGTCCAATTCCTGCTACCCTTACAACAAACAAAATATGAAGTTCTATAAATATGCTTACTGGATTTGGCTTGCCTCCAAGTCCATCGTAATACATGACTCCTAGTTGATACTTTGCTTGGAAGTCAGTGCCTTTAATTCTCTCGAATGTAACCATTGCTTTATCAAATATTTTTCTTTCGAAGTAAAACTGTCCAAGTTGAAATTTCGCAAGTCGGTCTGCTCCATCTTTAGCTCTCTGTATCAGAATCTCTTCTAGTTCATCATCATTAATCTCGTCTTGTTCTGGATCATTCAGTGAATACAATGAACTATCCTGTGATTTAGGAAGTGGCTCGCTGCTGAGCTTGCGATCGAGATGGACGGGAGCTGAAACAGGACGCTCCRCATCCGCCATGTTGACTTCGAATGAGCAATCGAACGTCACCATAGAAACAAGGTTGTTTAGACACACAGGAAGCCCAAAACCTCTACCGCTGAGTTTGGAACGCTGGCTCGTCTAATTTATGGAGATTCAAAATGGCGGCTGGAGGTTTACACAGTTCTGTGTTTCTCGTCATGGTATCGGGACAAATTGAATCAGCAAAGGTATTTCAATAAGCCTAACTAGTTTTACATTATATATTAAATTGAATGATCGATCCATAATTAGAAATTATATAATTTAGTTTCCAGAATTTGACGATCTGTATTGCAAGTTTGGGTTTGTTTATGGTCAAGATTGGGTCGTTACTTCCGTAAGTCGTCCACAACAAGTGTAAAATTATTGTCTAGAGTCACAAAGATTGTCATGAATTTTGTGCTATACTTGTCAAATGATATCCTCTAATGTAATTTATAAGGTTGATCAAAGTGTTTTTGGTGTTTTTGTAGGGCTGGGAAGAAGGTATATCACAAGTAACGAAAAAGAGTATGGACAGACGGCAAACTGTAGTTTGGAACTTTCCTCTCGATATCACATTTAAAAGCACTAGCCCTTTCGGATGTAAGTATGATAGGCTCTTTCAAATGTTCTTAAAGAAAATTGACAGGAAACCAATATGAAATTAGTTCTTACTCATCTGGGGGGGAAAACGTTTGAAAAAAGGGAGTAGCTCAGGAAATCGCCACACTTGTGGACTCTTTTCTCGTACAGCATTTAACATTAACAATTTTAATGTTTATGATTTTAAACTCTTGTAGGGCCTCAGTTGGTTATCAGCTGTTATGGTTTGGATGTTTTTGGCCATGATGTTGTGCGAGGATATGGTGCTGTTCATGTCCCCACATCTCCTGGAAGGTATCAAAAGGGCTTATGGTTTTACCAGTATCACATAATTGCTGTTTCAGATCGATTTGATTGAACATAGAAAAGTTTTAGTTTGATATATCAGGGGCAGATTCAGGACTGGCACTTTGGGGGAGGGGGGTTCGAACTGCTGTACCAAACCATAAAAGGACTGTAGTTTGGAAAACCAAACCCCACTACCCTTATATCTGACCCTGTGTATTTCCTGCAATATCAGCAATGGAAAGATGATGGCTGTTAAGGCTGCATTCATAATGCATGGCAGGGGGGGCAGGTGAAATTGAGGGGATATCGGGAAAATTTCGGTAGCAAAAAGGGGGGAATTTTTATCGGGAAATTGGGGGGGATGCACAATTTTTGGAAGAAGCTACAGGCCTTGCTTAGGGGGGATTGTATTTTTTTGCATGACTTCAAGGGAAGGGGGTGTTAAGAATTATTCTGGACATTTCAAATTTCACCTCCCCCCCCTCCTCTGCCATACATTATGAACGCAGCCTAAATTTGATTATCAGAAAATATATTTTCCTCCTAATCAAAATGTTTAACTAGTGATTGGAATTTCTAATAATAAAGAAACTGCTACAAGTGCATGTAATCTATCCTTTTACCTCTCACTCCTGTCAGAAAGCTTGGACTTAAATAATAAACTATGAAGCATCTAATTATTTTTCCAGGCACACAAGAGAAATACCAATGTTTGTTCCAGAGTCTTCATCAAAGTTGCAGAAATTTACTAGGTAGATATTGATTATATTTACTAGTTGTCCGTCATGTGCTGGTCCTAATATAGCCTCTAAACTATTGACTTTTAGCTGGTTCCTTGGAAGAAGACCAGAATTTGTAGATCCCAAAGTGGTTGCCCAAGGCGAAGGACGAGAAGGTTAGAGACGAGACTAGCTACTCTATATAGCTTTTTTTTCTGAAAATTAAGGCCCTTATTTTATTAATAATAATATAGTCCATGATATAGCTAAATGCAGAAATTATGTGAAAAACTGAACGATCTTACAGTGTTCAGTTTTTCTTCCCACCTAACAGCCTTTGGTTTCCCAGTTGGTCACTCTGTGTTACCATTACATCTAATTGTATTTCTTTTTCCCTATATCTACTTTAGTAACAAGAGTAAGATCACAAGGAACTGTAAAAGTAACCTTCAACATTGTCACAAGAGATATGAAGAAGCTAGGGTATGACACAGAGGCAACTAGTGTATCGATTCCACATATTTCAAGTTCATCTGGTGGTGGAAATACCATTAGACCTGAAATGACAACAGGGACTGGAGGAGAAAGCCATTCTTAAACTGATGTGTGTAAATACATATAGAAAGAAATACTTGTATTATATATTTATGCTGTACAAAATATAAGATATTGTAATAAAAACTTCAAGTTTTAATTCAGGGATGACCAGTTATTCATGTAGTGTATAGGCAAGGGGAAAAGTAGTCTCCTTTGCAAGTGACCTTAGCAAATGCCTTCTAAAAATTATTAATGTTTAAATTTATGTATAACTTTTGACAAGAAAAGTTGAAATTGCAGATGTTTTCATGCTCTGTTTGATAATACAGCATTCAGAAAGTAACAAGACAAGTGCAAAGAGCACTTCCTGTGGAATTAAAGGGAAATTTCTTCAAACTCCAGATCCCTAACTCTGGGGTTCTCACACACTTAGATCTTCCAAATGACCATACACTTTTCTATCACAGAAAAGTAGTCAAATTATAAAATACAGCTAGAATGTTAATGTTCATGTAATTATAGTATTAGTCTTACCACCTATGCCGAGGGTAGACACCAGACAAAACATAATACCCTAGTCCTCCAGGGTGGGGATTGGGCAAAGGTTTAGCAAGCCTATCTCATAAAAGAAATGCTACAGAAACCAGAAGCATCATAAATACAACCCCAACTTGGAGTGTCTGCTACTGAGGCTGTATTGACCTTTTGGTGTAATGATTCATGATAATTATAATGAATTATACAAATAAATTGCAACAACTCTCCCAAGATAGAGTGAAGGGTAGTATATTGAATTGAAATAAATGCAGCACATCTTTTCATTTTAGTCTTACTTTTACTATTTCATAATGACACTTTTATCAAGACTATCATTGTCAGCTGGCATAACTAACAGCTTATATACACATCTATGTATAGCCTGAACTAAATCACTCTCTGTATGCCTTGGATAATCATTCTATCAACATCTAATGCTGTCAATATGGAGAATGCTCAAGCTTTTTATTTATAAAACAAACTAGATAATGCCATGGAATGAGTCACCACTACACCTGACAGTACCAGGTCTATATGTTACACAACTTTTCAATACTCTGCAGTGAACAGGAATGTGGCACCAATCAATTTGAGATGTAACCAAGAATAAAATGTTATCTCATGTCACTGTATACCATTGGTAGAATTCCTCAATCATTCTAAATGCAGAAGTTTAATTAGAGGGTTTTTAARACCAGTAATTACAAAATAAACAATGCAGCTTTGTGCATCATTTGACAATGCTGTCATTTAAGACATGGAAATGAAGAAAGCATTTAGCTTTTTAATATCCCATAGCATGGCAAAGGTCGACGAATCAGTTTGTTCCACTTGCTCTCTGTATCAGCTCATCACAAATTGCTGTTAGTTCTTTATTTTCATTGATCTGTAAGAAAAGAAAATTTGCCAAAAAATCAAGATGATGACCTCGAAATGAAGAATCCTAGAGTGTGGTTTGGTAAAAACATAAAACATTATTTCTATTTTTTCTTTCTTTCCTGTTCCTTCCCTTTCCTTCTATTGTCTTTCTTTCCTTTCTCATTCTTTTGTCCTTCCTCATTCTTTTGTCCTTCCTTTTCTTTCCTTCTCATAGATCTAAAACATGAAAGGTCCATATAACTCTTACCTTTTGTTGTATTGCTTGCTCAAGGCTTGCACATTTATTCTGTTCTTTTTTAAGTGCAGCTCGCATAACTGCCATTTCCGAATCGTTTGATCTTCGGACCCTGTTTATCTCTATATTTGCACTAAAAATTAAAAGGAAAAGATTCACTTTACAGTTGTCTGTAAATGTTTGACCATGAAAGGAAAGCTCCGTTTGCACGCGCGCTCTGGCGAAAACGAATCCATACCTACGTAACAATGACTTACAGTTGGAAAAATTTATCACCATTCGTGACTCTGTTCAACGATTCTACGATGTCACCACTCTCAACGCTAAGGCCGATTTACACGGTACGATTTTTCCTTACAATTGTCGTGCACAATATGTTGATGAAACAAATTGATGTGCGTATGAATCGAGCGCACAATTTGCTTACGACTGTAAATTCCAGCTAAAACTTGGCGCAATCATGTTACGCAAAACAGATGAGTGAAAAAATCGTGCGAGCTAAATCGGCTTTAATAATGGCATCTCGACAATGATTGAGAAAAATTCAAAATGATCAGATCCAATCAAAAATGGATCCATACTGATAGTTATTAGCAATTTCTCGGATAATCATTACTAACGAATATACTCTTGGACTTACGTTTCGATTTTTTCTTCGGCGTGCTTTTTTAGCATCTGATATTTTTCTCCCGATTTTTTAAGCTTTTCTTGGTAGTCTATAGTAGCTTTTTTAAGTATTTCTTCGTTCTAGAAAAAAAAAGAAGGAAAAACATCAGCAAGTATTTCCACAAAAATATGAATCAAACAATGAATTTACCTTTTTATAATTTTCTAACACTCCTTTGAGCTTTTCGTATCGTCTATGTAAATCTGAAAACGCGGCTTCCACGGAATTTAAGTCTGCTTGCAACTGAAAAGATAAAAAATAAAGTTTTACCAATTGATGGTTTTCATAGCCGCCATGTTGGATGAATTTAACAAAAGATTCGTCGTGAGTCTCTTTTATCATCCAACATGGTCACCGTGTCTTTCGTTATTTTATTCTCTTGGGAATGATTGAAAAGCAGCAATAGGTTCACATGCCGACGTGGTTATTTAATACCACGGAAGTAGAAAGAAGATATAACTAGCTAAAAACTAGTGTGAGCTGCGTCGGTGTTTATAATGAAACAGTAATGATGAAAAGGTAAATTATACACCGTGAAAAGATGAAAAAACTTACTGACGTTTCAGACGCTAGTCCTTAATCGGAGTAAAAGAGAAGTAGACAGTAGATAAGACAAGGAAGTAGACAGTAGATAAGACAAGRTTATTATTAATCAAAGTGGTCAATATTCATATTGTTTGGTTACCTGATCTCTTTCTTTTACTATTTCATTTTTTGATTCATCCGACATGTTTTTATTCTTTTCGCTCGTTTCTATGATCAAGGAAAAAAATGTCAAAGTTGAAAAAGCGCATTTGAGCCAGTTTTAGGCTCAGGCCAAACGTCGAACTTCGCATGAGCCGAACCTAATTGAAAGAATGAATAACGAGGCGGTTTTCTTTGATGTCATTAGGTTCGGCTCATGTGAAGTTCGACGTTTGACTAGATTTTAAGGGTGATAAAACTACAAGTCTTGTATAGGTATTTCACGAACGCAATCTTTTAATGTCAATTGCGGTCAAGCGCAAAAAGGTACAATTCGATTACGTATTCACACACGCAAATGTATCTCTTTTGGATCAAATGATCAAACGAAACAGGATGTAAAGTGGTTTCATAGGCTTTTGCTTTGTGACTGAAGAGAAGTGAATGCTTTTCGTTAGACCAAAAGGCACGGAAAGTAGTTTCTTTCTAGCGCGCAATGCACAAAGGGACTCCTTACAAAACATATATGCACCTTTTATTAACGAATAAACTTTGCGCAGTAGGAATAAACTGCATTAGATGCAAAAACTTTGAAATATCATTCAAGGGAGGTCCTAATCCTTCGACACAATCGTCACCTAGGTGATTCGGTTGGTTGGTGGTAATAGGGAAAATTATGGTAAACGAATCTTACCAATCATCTCTGCCAACGTTCTTTCATACTCATTCATCACGGTCCTACATCAAATCAACAACATAGATCTAAGTAAGCATATTTCTGGTTAGCATTCTGGTGAACATCATAGTTTTGAAGTTACCTCAGTTCATCGTTCTCTCGTCGTAACTTGGCATTACCCTCGACTTCTGCTTGGAGTTTGCTTTGAATTTCTTGGATTTCCATGTCTCTTATGGCAGACTCCTCGTGGGTCTAAACAGGGTATGAAATTCCGCATTAGATCTTTTTATCGTTTACCTTTTATCGTTAATTGTCGCAAATCATCCAGTGGTTTCCCAAAGTCCTTCATAACGCGCTCCCCCGCCCTAGCCACGAGTGAGTTTGCGACTGCAATTTGCCAGCATTCTGATCGTTCCGAGTGAAACAGCTTGGTGCTTATTCAAGCAGCATACAACTTTACTGGTAATCTTCTTATTTCAAACTTCGTGAAAGGAAGCAATTTTTCTATTGAGATTTTTCTCTGTATTTTCATCTATGAGTACCATTTTCGATTTCGTTGTACTTTTACCACTATTTTTTCAAAAAAGGCATTGGATATTTTCCCTCTTTGGAGCTTTTTGATTGGCTTAAAAAGAAAGCCATTGGAGGCAGATAGTATAATATACGACAATCATCCTATCGTACTCAAAAATCTTTCAAGACTTTGTGACTAAAAACGATTCGTTTAATATTCGTTTTACTTCGTAAAAGTAAGTTAATGACGAGATAGCGCGAAGCTGGGACCGAGCTGAGGCAATGCATATTGGTTTATTATTAAATAAACACGAAGATTTGTTAGAAGAATTTTTCCTGGCACAATCACACTGTCAACTACTTGTAAAATTATCCCAAGAGAAGTTTTCCCTTTTCCCATACTAGTCTCTTATATTTTTCAATCTTAGGCCCCCACTTTTTGCTATACTAGTCTGACTCTTTTATATTTTTAAATAGCAGCCCCAACCCCCCCCCCTCCCCAAATTTTAAGCGTGGTTAGCGGTCCTTGCCAGAGTCACATACTGAGATTATTTGACCACAGTGGTCAGCAGCGGTTAGCAGTCGACTTACCTGTTTAAGAAGAGCTTCCCGTTCCTTCTTGACAGCTACTGCTATGTCACTTTTGCTGTAGAGAAGAGGCTGCGGAACAGATATCAGATATTATTACTTTTATGTATAACATTTACATTCATTTTCTTCTGGGATAGAAACTGGATCACGGCAATAGTGCGGTTGTAAAAATGAAAATTTGTTGTCATAAGGAAGACTGCATATTTTAAAATCAATTTAACACCAAAAAATTTTAAAAGATTTTGAACGGACAGCTTAAAAAGAAAATCTTCCAGACATCTGGATATCAAAAATAGACTTTAATATGTACAGAGACTGCCTTAGATTACCTAACTGTAAAGTAAAAGCTCAGAAAGTCATTTATTATGCAAGTTACGAGAAATTAAAGGAAGCTATGATATGGCACAATTTGTACGGATAACCAATGTGCAGAGATCGAGTCCACTAGAGGCTTCTCAAGTGCCGTACAAGCACTCGAGACCAATTCAGTTACCACAAACACTTGTCAGTTCATCGCACCGGCACCTCTAGGCTGCTTTACCTGTCAAATGACACTAAACAAATTCCAGTGTTTTTTTCATTTTTGTCATTTTCTCAAATTTCTTTTCTTAATTAAAATACGAGAATTAAAAATTGAGGTTTATTTTTATTCCAAATTCATAAAAAGTGATGGTCTAAATTTTTAGTCAGAATATTCAAAATTTCAGAAATAGCATTTCATTTTTGAAATAATCGATGCTGCATTCACCTAAGCCGCTTAGTTTCTCGATTTTGACACTAAATTTCACGAAAAAACCAAACACAAAAGCGAAAGAAATAAATTCTCAAAAGGTTCGTACTGATATAGTTTTAGATGTATCTGACATGGAGATCGAAAAACTTAAACTACGTTGAGCACTGCAAAAGAATAAAAAAAAAGAAATGAATAAAAGCTAGACTGTTTTTTCCCTTGAAAGCTGTCATAGGTCAACTTCTGGAGGTAACAGAGCGAAGGTATTAAAATATAAATATAATAATAATGTTAAAAAGAAACGCTTCGATCGACGATCCTAAGCGATGTTCATTCGTCTGTTAGAAAATGTCCGAATTATTCTTGTCAAAAATCTTGGCTCTATTAAACGAAGCGATTTACCTTCAAAAGAATCCCATGTAGGACGCGGATATGAACAAAGAAACATTCCTTACACCATTTTCGTACGATTTACATCGAAGATATCTATTTTGGATATTTTTTTTCTCCAGTGAACAAGGAATCTCGCTGGTAAGTTCAATATTGATCAGGATCGATATCGACAAAAATATTTCTCCAAAACAACCTCAGTATCACTTATGCATGCAAATGAATTAGAAGGCTTTTCCATTACACATGACCGCGTATTTGCATAATCGTGACTAAAAATGTGTAGGCAAGGAAAAGACAAGGACCGACCAATCCTTCAACGGGGAAATGGTTTAGCGTTACAAAATGAAAGAATACCTGTGGGCGATGGAGAATAAAGGATCGATGTCTAGTAATGATCAGCCGTAAATTACATGCGTTTTTTTTATCCTAAGGACTATGATAAACGAAGCAGGAGTAGAACTATCGAATTTTAAAGGAGCAGAGTGCTTTTAGAGGGGATTACCTCGCTTTTATCCGGCAAACCAAAGCAAATAAACCATCGAAAGTATCTCCACACGAGCGCCATAGCAGACGTGGTAGAACAATAGCGACCATGATTTGCCTTTGTTATRAGTTGATGTTATAGCTAGTAAACCACCTGGTCGAGTCAAACAAGACCTGCACTAGTACTACTGGCACCAAATCTTTATTAATTTGTAGCTGTAACTTCTGTGATCGCAGAAAAACACAGGTACTAGAGCAGAGATTTATACTCCATTATGGATCATGAATGGGAAGACTTTTAAGAGCCTAAATCCCATTAACTGTTAGAAAACAAGACACTCGAAGGTCTTTTGATACACGCGATTTTTTAGTTTGTTTTATTGTTTGTTTGACAAATTATTAAAGAGAACATGACRGTTTTGTAGTCGCTTTCAAATAAAAAATAAGCGAGATTTTGAGAGAAATGATCCTGGCAGTTCTACCACGATTTAACGAAAATTATTTAGCAGAAAATAGAGTGACACGAAAAAAAAGTTTTTTTAATGTCTGCATTACTTAGTGCAACCTATGTAAATATATTTCTTTATTCAAATAATATAAATAATCCGCTGAACTCTACGTTTTCTATTCTTCCTGTAGATACAGACTTCAGTCCTACAACTCATACCTTTCTACGCATGCTCTGAAGTATAGCGTGACAGAATTTTTTTTTAATACTATTTTTTGGTGTCGTTTAAAAACTTTACATTTTAAAGTATTCGATGTACAATTCTAGCAATCATAGAAACATTAGGTTTTTTCCCATAAAACATTGTTTATATTTCAGCAAAATAGAGCCCCGAATTAAAAAATGTCAAGTTCGTCAAGAAAAAGTTTTTGATTTCTTAATTTTTCAGTTTAATTTTAGAACATTTTGGCAGTCTTTTTTATTTTTTTATTTATCTATTTATTTATCTTATTTATTTTTTGTCAACTCGTCTAGTTAGAAGCTACCGGGAGTAAGAAATTTCATTAAAAAAACTGAAGTAAACAATACAGCTAGAAATATATTTAATTGAAGAGCGAATATTGTAATTGGTCACGTACCTCTACCAGACTAGGATCGTGGCTCTCATCACTATGGTTGTCCTGAGCTGTGGATTTTGGTGGTTCGAATGATTGTTTACTAGAGTCTTCGTTGGAGGTCTGTAATTATGAATAAATAGCACAATTGAGTACAAAAATATAACTCATTATTTAAGAATGAATTAAACCCAGTTTTGATGTATAGTATAGGAGCCTAACACATACACCTACTGGAGTAAAATGGGAAATAGAATCAACAGGGATAGTTTTTTTTGATATTGCTTTTATTTTTTCTTACTTATTTCTAGTTAATTAACGCCCATTAACAAATAAAACCGAAAAAATTCGGCATATAATAGCACCTTTGTGGTAATACCCCACAAGTTCTTTTTTTCTAATTTCCGATTTTTATCGCCTACAGATAAGATGTTTTTGAATGGGCGTATAATTGAATTTTATATGATTCCTCTCAAGTTTAGAAAAAAAAATGACATGTTGCGAGCATGCTATTGAACTGGAATGATAGCGCAATGAAAAGATTTTGATCATGATGTTGATCAACAGAGAGAGAGGGGGGGGGGGGGGGGGGGGGGAGAGGAAAGATTATTTTAGAACAAAAACCAGTGAAAAGCCGTTTTATTATCTTATCATCTCCTGATCACGAACAGTCCCTTTTCCTGTCCATGGCCACTAATCGCTCGGCGGGGACTGAATAATTTATTCAAATAAATAAAATCATCAAAAAAAGAGGGAACGAACAGGCCTTTGGTGTTCCCTCACATCCATTTACGATTTATTCATCCTATTCCCTTTTTCCACTTAACTAAAAGACCTGACCTTTCTTATTTAAAAATCGAGGTTGGTAGAAAGTCGCATCTTTTTCGGCTTCACAGGATTTTTCGTGCATATTTTTCAAACGATTACAGCCGAAGAACTTATCGATAGAATTTCTTATCAAGTATATATCCGATGTTTAATTGGTTTTAACAGGAAACAAAACATTTTGAACAGCATGTTGAGCTGCACTCTCGATCCCGGAGCCCGCGTTCCTGATGGTCTCCGCCAAGGAACGAAGGCCTCGCAACGAATCAAAATGGCAATGCTTTCTGATTGGCTAACACGACAGCGTAAAGCCGCCAAAAGTTATGAAATTGGGACCAATCACTGTGAGGTGGTTTAGGAAGGAAGGATAAATAGGTGGGATAGGAATAAGGGTAAGGGATGTTTTTACCATAAAATTCCTTTCATTTTCCTACGAAATAATGGCATTGGTCATGAAAATTACTGAACAAACAGAATAAAAGAACACGACGACATAAAAGCTTATCCAGTTGGGCTGCAGTACGGTTATCTTCGTATCGTTTTAATCTCATTGGAATCCTAAACCACCTAAGATAGCTATCTTTTATGCTAGCCAATTACACTTTGATGAGCCCCAAAGGAAATATATGTCCAAAACGAGAGTGCATAGAGCCCTTTTAAAATACAAACGAAATGGAATTTTTTACATACATTTTGTGTTTTCCTGTCAAAAACATTTCGTAAGAAAAGTATCTATAGAAACAGAGAAAGAGAGAGGGAAAGAAAAAGAAGAAAAAAGTGGCAAAAATGGATGGAAAGAAAAAAGAAAGACGTAACAAAGGCACTAATAAATCGAAGATAATCAATAATAATCAATCGAAATGATGAAAAAGATACCTTTGCTTGAGGGCTAAAAGTTAACAGCTTATCAACATCAGAGAGATTGTTCGCGTCTTTGCCTTTTGCCTCCTTGATCGCAGTAAGTCTTTGTTGTGCTCGTCGGTTCGGCGGCGTGTTCATAAGCAATAAATCACCGAAGCTAAATCCAAGCAAAACATATTATAAGTATGACTAACAAAGTAAATAATGCAACACACGCTCGTTCAGTGGAATACTGCATAGGATTGTGTGTTCAATTATCAACGGAAACAATTCTTGGACTTCTGTCGCAGAATTTATGCAAATTGAGCTCACTTTTGAGATATTGTCACAGAAAAAAAACGTCCAATAATGAAATTTTGACAGCTAATTCACAAGGCAATATACATTAAGACCTAATATACGACAAGATCCTGAACATCCTATATGAAAATCAATAAGATAAGACCAAAAACGAGAACTTCGCGTTCTTTTTATTGGCGTAAAAAAACATCAAAATCATTCTCTGCTTGAATCCATTTTGTTTCCGATATCTCCTATCAACAAACCAAACCGCCTATTAGACTTCAATTTTTCTTTCAAAGGACCCTTAGTGCTCTTACCTATGTGTAAGAACCCGTGTGGTAAATGTATCGCACTGTGGCTTTCAAATGGTTTCCGAATTCAAGCATTATGATTGGATGATTTCTTTCTTCGATTCTGATTGGACCAGATCGAAAGCCATTTTGAGAGTCATGGTATCTTGTTTCAACCCGCGAAATCTCCTTCAGAGTCGTTATTTTTCGACCGAGAAAATAAGACGTTTATGAGGTCATGTAAAAGCTGCGCGCGCTCATTCAGAAAGAGAAAATGACCAAGGGTAAAGTATAATCCGAATTGGAACTTGTTTTTTTGGCAGTTCTTTACCGGATTAGTACAAAAAAAGAATTGATTTGAATTCTCTCCGGTTGAAGTAATGATGTTATGGGTAGTGAGAGTACAAAAAGATTTGACTTACTTTCCTGGCGGTGTTTGCTTTGAATTGATTGCATCCGCTTTCATCTGCTTCAGATCTTAAACAACAATACAAAGAAATTGCAGTGGTTGAATTTTAAATGCTTCTAGTTATCTGTATCTTAAACAGATAATCAGTAAGACAATGAGGGTCTTAAGGGTGGCAATGCAATGTTTGTGCACGAGATAGGGGGAAATAATAGCTTTTTTTTTTTTTTCCCTACAAAATTTCGGCCTTGAATTCCATCTATTTAGTCTACATTCAGAATTGAAATTCTCGAAGTATAAGTTAGACTAAAGTCAAACGTCGAACTTCAAATGAGCCAAACCTAATGACAGAGAAGACCGCCTTGTAATTCATTGTTTCGATATAATCGGCTCATGTGAAGTTCGACGTTCGACTTGGGCCTAAAACAAGCCCGAAATATCATCACACTTCAATCAGCAATCACTATGCTTAGCTGGAAAGCGTTGGTACCGAATATATTACTTCGTTAGATTACAAAAATTGGTACGATAATTACAATCTTGGTACCGTAACCATCAAATTGGTTCCACATAATACTGAGATCGAACGGAAAGACTAATGCGCGCGTTTTAATTTCATTTGCTCGCAATTTAAGCCATTTGAGTGTTACGATACAAGTACATTCCTCGGTGATATGAAACTTACTCCAATAATAGGAAAAACTGCCCCGAAACTTCAGCCGGCAATGGACTCTTCTCAAAGTTATCTTGAATGCGAGGTTAATATCGAAATACAAAAGAAATGCCACAAAATTGCGAGAAAAARAGTGATTTCTTTTGTTTTTTCTTTTTAGCCTCGCATTCACTATGAGGGTTCGATTTAGTGTGTTTATTTTAGAAACATGTATATATCTTAATGAAAAGTCCCCGAATGTCAAGAGAATATTAAGAGAAATATTATATAAAGACCCACGCACTAGTATTGGACCATTTATCATACCTTGGTCTGGAGATCCTTTGACAAGGGGATCAAACTTGACGTAGAGTGACTGACGAGCAAGAGCCGACTAGGACAAGACATCATTAATAATTAGAATGACAGATAAAATGGGAAAGTCTAAAGATAGAACTTTTATGAAAGGGGAAAGGAAGGAATGGAAATGGAATGGGAGGGGGGAAATGCAAAAAAAAA